CGACACAACTTGATATTAGAGCCTAGATTTTCGATTTCCTTAGGACTTGAGGGTAGCTTGGGTTAGACCATTACATCCATGTGCATTACATATTATATGTTAGGTGCTAAGTATGTGAATATATGTGTGTTTATAAGGAACAGGGAAAACCTAGGTAGAATTATAGTCTAAAGGTTGGAAAGGAAAACAAAAAAGAAAACATGGAAGAATTGGGTGGAAACAGTCTACCGGTAGAAAACTTTTTGTTTTGGAACCTACCACCTACCGTTAGAGTTGCATTCTATTTTGGTCCTACTAGTAGGTAGACATCAACCTACCAGCAGAACAACATTTTGTTTTGAACCTATCGATAGGTGGAATTACCTAATAGTAGGTCAACAACACAGCAATTTTTCCCAACTTCGAATGGCCATAACTTTTACTACCGAAGTCGGAATTAAGCAAATAAACTATCGTTGGAAAGATTAGGATGTCTACTTTCAATTGAAATAGATTTGAGCCCAAAATTCTTACTATCCTAAGAGAGATGACAAAAAGAGTAAGGGTGTATCATGGTATTAACTTGAAACCAACTCGCATGTTCTTTTTACGGCGTCATGACATTGTTGTGATATGTTCTAAGATGCTTTGACGTTGTCAATGGTCCATAATACTAAATTAGGTCTATTACAATCTTGTATGTTTTAGATGGCAACTAGAGGTTGGGGATGTCGACCTAGTTGAGGGAGTGGTTGGAATAACCAACCACCGCCATCACTCGTCTACGATCAAGAGGTATTCACGAATGTCATGACTGCCATGACGGCTACTTTTGCACAAACTAGCGCCAACATAAGTCAACGAGGCTCGAGCAACCTCCAAAAATTCAAGGCACACAAGCCAGCTACATTTCTGGGAGAAGCGGATCAGAAGATTGTCGACCACTGGTTCAAATTCCAACAAGTGGATAAGGTCTTGGAGGCTATAAAGATCAAATCCGATGCCAATAAGATAAGGCTGGCAACTTTTCACCTTGAGGAAGAGGCCCATCAATGGTGTAGATGAGCAAGTACCTCGAGAGACATCGAGACAATGACATGGGAAGAGTTCCAAGAACTCTTTATGAATAAGTATTTCCCTTCTGCTCTTCGGCAAGTGAAAGTTCGGGAATTCCTAGACCTAAAGTAGGAGACTATAACAGTGATGCAATATGTGGCGAAATTTATGGAACTAGCCATTTTGTAGATGATTGCATGGCTAGACTTTGCCAAAGTAAGGTAATTTGAGGATGGCTTAAAGTTGTCCATCCGGGGCAAGATTGTGGGTCATCGCCCACAAGACCTAGATTCAATGGTAGAGATAGTCATGGCTATTGAGAGGGAGGTAGATAACACTAAGAGCATCCAGGAGGCCGGTACTAAGTACAATAAACAAAAAGGGTCAATCCTCCAACACAAGTTCGGCAAGAAACAAAAGACCTCTACAACACAAGGGTCTCAGAGGCAAGGCCGGAGTTATCAAGGCCAAAGTCAAGTTTCCTAAGGAAGAACTTCAAGGGAACATATTAGGAAGACCAAAATACATGTTACTTGTGTCGCCAGACGGGCCACTTGAATAAGGATTGCCCTCTCGGGCAAGAATCCCAAAGTTACGGGGCTACAAACATATTTTTCTCCTCCTTACCCTACCTTGGGCCAGGGGAATCAGTATCAACCTCAAGGCACTGAGCAAGCTCCAACTACACGTTTGCGGGGACTCCACAATCAGACCAAATGGACCAGGGTGTATGTCGAGGATGGGGACAAGGCTATCAAGCCAGTACTTCAAAGACCCAAGAACGAGTCTTCGCCATCACTTCTCATATTGAATTAGTGGATCAATTAGTGATTCAAGGTACATTTTTACTCTCTCGCTTATGGGCAAATGTGTTATTTGATTCGAGTGCATCACATTCATTCATTTCTACATCTTGTGTAAAAAATTTGGACTTAGAGGTTGAGACCTTAGAGGAGAATTTATATGTAAATTCTCCTCTAGGAGCTAGGGTTTGTATTGACAAGGTATATCAGAGTTGAGTTAGAGATCTCCGGGATTCAACTCACGGTGGACCTTAAGGTCAAATATGTCGGAATTCGATGTTATCCTTGGGATGGATTGACTAAGGACACATTGGGTGGTTATTGATTATGATCAAAAGTTAGTCATTGCCTACACTTCGGAGGGGATTAGTTTTAAATTTCAGGGAGAAAAGTACAATACTTTACCCCAGGCTGTATATGACTCCCGTTGGCACAGGCAGTAGATAGGTTAGCTTGCGAGCCTTACCCATGACGACGAGGCGAGAAAATTTGGGACCACCTTGGGTAGTTTGTGAATATGCGGATGTCTTCCCAAACGAGTTACCGAGATTTACTCCACATCGGGATGTTGACTTCTCCATTGAGTAACAACCCGGTATATCCCCTATCTTTATGGCACCGACAGGATTACAAGATTTGTTGGACAAAAGTTTTATTGGTCCTTCAATTTAAGTCACCCATTGAGTATCTTTCTAAAATTTATTCTATTCCTTCAATTTATTTCTTTCCTTCTAAGGTCTTTGGGTGTGTTTGTTTTGTACATGATTACAAATCCTCTAAAGGGAAACCTGACTCCAAGGCCTATGGTGTGTTTTATTTGTTACTCTCCAACCAAAAAGGATATAAATGCTATCATCTTGTAACTCAAAAGCTGTTTGTTAGTATGGATGTTACTTTCCGTGAAACTGAGTCATTTTTTCCTAGTTTCCAGTCATCTCTTCAGGGGGATAACACTACCATTGGGGAAGGATGGTTTATCAAGAACCCTTTCTTCAATTACCTGTTCAATGGAATATTGGTAAGGGGGAGCAACAACTTATGGAGGAAAAAATTGATACTAGTAGTCCATCTGGTACTCACTTTGACAAAAATAACCTGAAGACTTATTCTCGGTGTCAAAAGGTACAAGGACAGACTACACTTGTGCCACCGAGTCAATTGAATTCTCCACCTCCGGTTCAAACACTTTATTTATCAGGTAATGAGCTTTCAAATGTTGCTCCTATTGATAATATTGTTGTTGATGATTCCGAGCTTCCTATTTAAGTCAAAAAGGGCATTAGAACTTGTACTCGACAGTCGACACCCCATCTCTAACTTTATATCTTATGATTCCTTATCCACATCATATCGTTCTTTTGTTTCATCCTTGTCTTTTGCATCTATTGCTCAGGGTTGGAAAAAAGCTTTCATTGATCCTGAGTGGAAAGAAGCTATGGTAAAGAAAATAAAAGCCTTGAAAAAGAACAACAAGTGGCAACTAGGTTCTCTTCCTAATGGAGCAAGGGTAGTAGGGTGCAAATGGCTATTCACTATCAAACATCAAGCCTATGAGACAATTGAGAAGTACAAAGCAAGATTGATTGTTATGGGCTTCACCCAGACCTAAGGCATTGATTATCAGGAGACTTTTGTCTCTGTGGCAAAGATGAACTCCATACATGCTCTTCTTTCATATGCAGCTAATCCGGGTTGGAGTCTACAACATTTGGACATGAAAAATGCTTTTCTCCATGAAGTTTTGGAAGAAGTGTATATGAAAATCCCACCTGGTTTTTAATCCCAGTTAACCGAAGGAAAGGTATGTAAGTTAAAAAAGTCTCTTTATGGGCTAAAGCAATCTCCCAGAGCTCGCCTTGATAGGTTTCTCAAAGTCATGCTTAAATTTTGATATAAACAGAACCATGCAAATCATTCTATGTTCATCATACACGTTGATGATAAGATAATTATTATGATTGTGTATGTGGATGACATAGTAATAACTCAGAATTATATGCAAACAGTAGCCAAACTTAAAACTCAGTTGGCTAAGGAGTTTGAAATCAAAAACTTGGTTCTATTGAAATACTTTCTTGGAATTGTGGTTGCTAGATTAGATAAAGGTATTTTTATCTCCCAGAGAAATTATGTACTTAACCTTCTTGAAGAAACAGGCATATTGGAATTTAAATCTACAGATTATCCCATTGAAGTCATTCATCAATTAAGTAATGAAGTTAGTGACGTAGTTGATAAGGAGAGACATCTAATATTAGTGGGGAGATTGATATATCTCTCTCGTAGTTGTCCAAATATTGCTTATGTAGTGGGTATTGTCAGCCAGTTCATGCATGATCGTCAAACTCCTTATCTTGAAACTGTTTATTGTATTTCGAAGTATCTCAAGTCAACTCCAAGAAAAGGGATTCTATCCTCCAAACATGACATTTGAAGTTAGAAGCATTTATCAATGTAGACTAGGTAGGTTTTGTGGATGATGGGCAAAGAGTACTTAAAGCCACTACACTTTGATAGGAGGAAACCTTGTTCCTTGACGAAGCAAAAAACCTTGTTATGAGACTATACTATGATAATAAGGTTGTTATCAATATTCTCATAATCCAGTTCAACATGATAAAACCAAACATGTTGAGATTGACCGACACTTTATCAAAGAGTTGAACAATGATTTGATTTGCATGCCTTTTCTGAAATCGGAGAATGAATTGGTTATGTTTTCACCAAGGGACTTAGTAGCGAGATTTTGCATATGCACCATTTTGAAGGAGAGTGTTAGTTATTGTTAGTTATGCTTTATTTTTAACTTGAGGGTATTCTTGTACTTTCAGCTTATATATATAAGTTGGGGTGTAGTATACCTTAACACACTACATTTTACAGTTGTTTGTCTATTCTTCTCTTATTATCTCTTCCCTTTCCAAACTCTAATTAAAACTTCATATTCTAAATGTAATCATAAATAGCTAATTTTTTTATGAATTTTAGACCAAGCTTTTGAGTTTACAATTGGTGGGATAAAAACAAGCATAATTGTCTATGTAAGCATACATCAATTGACATATGGCCAGGTACATAGAGTCTCCCTAGAGCTTTAAACACGCTCTTTGAAACTTGTAAGCATACCTTATTGGGCACGAAAAAACTATTAAGTTCCTGCAACTACTTGTCTGGATGTCCCCTTTTAGCCTTACGCCGTGCATGGTTTGAATTACCATTTCGATTGGGGTTCTTCGCCTTTTGACTGCAATGTATAAAGGGGAAAAAGACAGGAACTTTAAATATTTAGTGGAATACGAGAAGAGCATTAAAAATACAATATAAATATATTTTTCACTTTTTTTCTGCTATGAAGATAGAACTATTAGAGATATAAAATAACATAGAACAAACGAACCAGAAGATGGCAGAACAAATTCTTGACAGAATGATGATGGGCAGAGCTAACAAAGCAGAGGCCTACAACAATAACTTCAGATAATGTACACCAAATGGCAGGTAAACTGAAATTGATAAAAGAATCATGGATTAGACAAAACCACAAAATCATTCAATGGATACATACGGCAAACCACACCAACTCCTTTGTAGCAAGAGGCCTTGTGAGCTCATGCTTTTTGAGTGTTTCTTGGACAGTGCCTTGAACCTTCACAGAAAACAGCATAGTACAGTAAGGTATTGAAAATCCAGATGCAATTCATAGTTTAGAAAACATATGTGAAGATCCAGAGAAAACATCACCCCCAAGAAACAATGCTTTAACAGGATATGTCAAAAGCCTGATGGTGTTTCTCACATGTCCATTTATTGATACAATCCATGCACACGCGAGGTTACTAGAAACACAAGTAGCTATTCCTGAATGTGTATCCTCGAAAAAACCAACCAATTATCCGACTGCAAACCTTTTTTTCGCGATTTACAATAGATATTTGCATATCATGAAAATCATAAAAAAATTAAAATTAAAAACAACATAAAATAAAAGAAAAGAAATAGATCGCATACTGAATATTGACAATATTGCATAGAAACTTCTTTCCAGGGTGTCAGCAGCCAGGTCATCCCCAAATTACCAACTCAAGTAAACTATTTAAATTCTCATCCCTCCCCCTCTCTCCCATGGTTATCACTATCGTTGAAGTCTAAATGTCATTAACCACGATGAAGGATGAAAAACCTGGTACCACCGTGCTGGCTATTGTGATGAGACCAAAACTACATGGCTCCAGAAAATCCAAGAGAATGAAGTTATAAAGTGGTGCTTGTTATATAAAAATTTAAAGGAGGATGTCGTTAGGCATTGCGATGGATGACTTTTCATTTCTGCTTCGTTTATTCTCCTCCGCTCTCAAATATCAAAAGGAGGTTTTCTAGAGTAACCTTCCACAGTCCTATCTAAACCTTGCCCCACCAGCTATTGAACTCATGGCTGCAGGAGTAACCTTCCACATTCCTATCTAGACCTTGCCCCACCAGCTATGACCTCATGGCTGCAGGATGAGGAAGCGGCCATTGATT